TGCAACTGTGGCCCAGGCAGCCACTCCCAAGAAGTCTTAAGCAAGTGATCCAGAGGTGACTGGGTTACTGTTTGGTTTTTTCTTTTTTCTTTTTGAGACAGAGTCTCACTCTGTTGCCCAGGCTAGAGTGCAGTGGCGTCAGCCTAGCTCACAGCAACCTCAAACTACCAGGCTCAAGTGATTCTTCTGCTTCAGCCTTCCGAGTAACTGGGACTACAGGCATGCGCCACCATGCCCAGCTAATATATATATATATATGTATATATATATAGTTAGGAACCGACCTTCCACAGCCCCACCGGACAGAAAAGCAGAGACATCGAGGATGTAATTACACAAGAGGAGGTTTATTTTCTGGCTAGCCAGGGTCCAAGCCCTAGAGCACTAATGCAGTGGCCACTCTTACAGGCAAGGACCCCGACTGGGGTTGCAGCGTGCTTTTTATCCCTATGGTGCATACGCTATGCAGTGGCTGATCACGCGTGGATCATGCATTGACCTTTAACATGATTGGTTGGCTGGTAGCCCCACTATACAGGGGTTTGAACAATGCAAAGTTGGCGCAAACAAGCAAGCAAGCAACGGTTTCCATGGCAAGCAAGCAACAGTTTCCAGAAGCCGGATGTTAGTTCCGGCTTCACTGGGGGTGTGGGCCTTGCAGGTATGCAATGTCTCGACCCCTCACAATATATATATATATATGGTTGTCTGGCTAATTTCTTTCTATTTTTTTAGTAGAGATAGGGTCTCACTCTTGCTCAGGCTGGTCTTGAACTCCTGAGCTCAAACACAATCTGCCCACCTCAGCCTCCCAGAATGCTGAGATTATAGGTATGAGCCACCATGCCTGGCCTACTGCTTGGTTTTATACATTTTAAAGAGACAGGAATTTCAGGTAAAATCATAGATCAATACATGGAAGGTACTCATTGGTTTGGCCTGAAAAGGCAAGACATCTCAAGTGGAGGCTTCCAGGCAGGTTACAGGCAGGTTCAAAGTTTCTTTGATTTGGAATCTGTTAAAGAAATAAAGCTTTGTCTAAAGGTTTGGAGGCCAGGCACAGTGGCTCATGCCTATAATCCCAGCACCTTGGGAGGAGGCAGGAGGATCACATGAGGCCAGAAGTTTGAGACCATCCTGGGCAACATAGCAAGACCCTGTCACTACAAAAAATTTTTTAAAAATAAGCTTGGCGTGGTGGCATGTGCTTGTAATCCTGGCTACTTGGGAGGCTGAGGCAGAAGGATTGCTTGAGCCCAGGAGTTTGAGGTTGCTGTGAGCTAGGCTGATTCCATGGCACTCTAGCCTGGGCAACAGAGTAAACAAAAACAACAACAACAACAAAAAACCAAAAACAAAGCACATAAAGGTTATTGAAATTTGTTCATAGAGCTAGTTACACCGTTTGCCAAGAGGGGGACCATTCAGTTGGTGTGGAGGCTTTGGATTTTATTTGTAAGCTCTCCCTCCTTTTAAATATCTCACCTTTTTGGGCCAAACCAATGTATACCTCCCATGTATTGATTTATGATTGTGCCTGCAATTCATGGATCCCTGAAATGTATAAAACCAAATGGTAACCCAACCACCTTGGGCACACTTTCACAGGACCTCTTGAGACTGTTTCCCTAGATCATAGTAACTCATATTGGCTCAAATAAAAACCTCCTTAAATATTTTGGCAGAGTTTGGTTTTTCCATAGGCAACTGTTTTGAACCACTATCTGTTAAGCCTTTAATAAAAGCAACTTTTAAAGAGTTTCTTACATGATATATTTATGAGAACCTACTATAGGAGACCAGAATATGTCACCTCAAAATATGTTTCTGTGGCTTAAAGATTGTTAGGTCCTAGAGCCCGAAAGAGAGACACACTAAGCCTCATGTGTAGCAAAATGCTATTTATTTTGAGCATCTGGGTGCAGATGGGTGGAGGCGAAAAGTGTCCACGAGAGAAAAGGGGAGAGCCTTGGGTTTTATAGAAGGTTTCTCCAGGGGGAGTAAGTAAGTAGGCCAGAACAGCCGCTTGTAATAAATTCTTTTTCCAACAACCAGCGCCTAGGACCCCTTCCCCAGTCACATCCATCCTTCAGCTCCAGCCTCTCCTTATGAGGAGGGATAGGGAGGGATAAACTGTGCTCCTATGGGGAGGGGGACAGGAATGCTGGCTGCAGCTGTCTGTTAGATTTACAATGTCTGGGGACTCTCCAGCTTCCTGTGGTTATTGTTTTACAAGCCTAAGTTTTCCATTAACCGCGTTGGGCTTCTTAGAAGAATTGAGTCTACTAGGGATATCTGGAGGTCTGTGGTTGATGAAGAAGGGAGTCTTTTTAGTCCTGGCCATGTATAGCTTCCACATAGATGGCAGCCTACTGTATTTTTATATTAGAAGGCCTCATGTCTAGACATAGGGAGAGCGGGTGATTGATGGTCATTTGTCATGCTTGTTTTCTCAAAGTCAAAATTAAAGTGCCAAGTTAAATGAGAAAGGAAAAGAACCAGTGTTCATGGAGCACTTACTATGAGCCAGGAACCATGCTACATGTTTTAGACCTCGTCAGTCGGCCCATGCCCTCAAATCTGGGTAGAACTAAGCATGTCCCCACTGTGAAAATAATTCAAAATCTAAGCTGTTGGAACTCTGTCATTTTGAAACTTATTGTTTTGAACCTTAAAGGAATGTGGTTATGGGGCCTGTGTCACATGACAGGCACCTGTAACTGAGTCAGCTGTAAAGGGAGTTTCTCCTATTATAGAGTAAGCCTTCTTTCTTACCTGTTGCTTTGTAAAATGTTGTAAATGAATCAAGGGGAAATAGCGGGGGTTTGCCATGTCCCGATAAAGATAGGGTCCCCCGGCAGATTGTGTTGCAAGACATGAAAGAAACAAAGACACAGACACAGAAATAATATTTAAGAAAGCGGGGAGGCCAGGGGACTACCAGCACGCTGGTGCCAAGGAGGCAGTGACTGAAACCCAGCACTTGCTTTTTATTCCCTTTGCCATGTTGCAAAATACAACGATCTCATGTGAAAAAAATCACTGGATACAGTGAACGAAGGTTTTGGGCCTCCCCCCAAAATCATAAGGTGTCCTAGCTAATTTCTTTCTCCTTTCTAGAAGTGAAAAACACATAATTCTTCAGTATGTACAACCCTTTTGATCAAAGTAAACTGATTTTATCCCAAGTTCAAGCTATGTACATGGATATCAATCTTTAACTTCAGTAGCTTGTGACCCGTTTGATCAAGGAACAAAGAAACTACATGCTTTCTACTGGGTGACTGGTTTTACATTAACTGAGGCATTGTTGAGAGAAAAGGAGACAAGGAACTTGACCCAGTGTTCAAACACTATGGAAGCCTTGAGACCCTTCTCCCAGGCTGACATATTGCAATCTATCTCTACAACCTTGAGAAGTTTTCATGTCAGGCTGCCCGTAGCTTTCCATGCATGAGACCCTTTAGGCTCCAACCCCTTAGGTTGGAGCATGCTTTGCTGTACTCCCAGATCGCTGATATATGTCCCCCAACTAGGCAGTTAACATCTCCACTTACTTCAGGCTTCTGCTGAGGCAATTCCTTTACCTCCTCTCCTCTCACAGCTTCAGACATAGCATCCCTAAGTCCCAGTGGTCTTAATCCCATCAGGGAAAACCCCTTTTCTCCCCACTGTTGATCTTCATTGTAGATTAACCCTCTTACCTTTCTCACATAAAGACTTCATAGCTATCTCCTTGTCTCAAGATATAATGTTAAATACTCTCTGTTAAATTGGAAAGAAAATGAAAACCAGCTATAAAGAAAATAGGCTGGCCGCAGTGGCTCACGCCTGTAATCCTAGCACTCTGGGAGGCTGAGGCGGGCGGATCGCTCTAAGGTCAGGAGTTCGAAACCAGTCTGAGCAAGAGCGAGACCCCATCTCTACTAAAAATGGAAAGAAATTAATTGGCCAACTAAAATATATATAGAAAAAATTAGCTGGGCATGGTGGCACATGCCTGTAAGTCCCAGCTACTTGGGAGGCTGAGGCAGAAGGATTGCTTGAGCCCAGGAGTTTGAGATTGCTGTGAGCTAGGCTGATGCCATGGCACTCTAGCCCGGTAAACAGAGTGAGACTCTGTCTCAAAAAAAAAAAAAAAAAAAAAAAAAAAAAATTGTTAAAAAAAAGAAAAGAAAAGAATCTGTTAAGGTTTGGGAGGGGGACCAGACCATTTGTTGTAACTCTTAAACTAGGCTTGCATAAAAAATGTTCTAATCTTATAAATTTATTTGTCTTTTTCCTATATAAATAAGAATTTAACTTTGGAGTGCTGATCCCATTTCTCTGGAGTCTGCGTGTCAAGGAATGGCCATTCCCAGTTTTCCACTTGAATAAACTCTTTAAAACTGGATTCTGACCCTTTTGATTATTTCAAGTTGACACCACAATCAATGCCTAAGTCACAACTTGTCTCCAGCCTAGCACATGAACATTTACACCCTCATCATACACATAATCATGTCACATACATTAGACACACACACATAAAATGTACCTTAAACCCTATGCATAGCATGAATCACATCCAAGCATAACTGATACATACATACCCATACCAATCACACAATATATACTCTGCACGCATAACATACAGAAATGTCACACACATTGGAATAATACAATTTATTTAGGCAAGGGAAGATCATTCAGCATGGCTAGGTATAAGAAGAGTCAGTATCAGGAAAATTCTTGGGTTAGCCAAGAAGAGATGCCATATGAGCTGAATCTTGAAACCAAGTAGGAGTAGGGTAAATGAGGACAGAAGTATATTCTAGGCAAGAGAGATAACATAGGCAAAGTTATGATATCAAGAAACCATGTGATACATAACTCTAAATAGTTAGAATACATTGACATAAATGCAAAGTGGGGAATGGCAGGGGCTATTGATGTAGGTAGTGACCACCACTGGGGATGTACTGAGTACACTATCAAAACCGGGGATGTGAATAGACCTTCTAGTCGCTGATAAGTTGTAGCATCTTCAGGTCCTCTATGCTATCAACATAACCATCCATGCCACAGTGGAATTCAATGTAACTGAAGCTTCTGCTCTCTGTGTAGCCATTGTTGTCATTCTCCTGGTGACACTGGAGTACTTTGAGGCCACCCTCGAACCATATGTATGTATTTTTGTATCGGCCCTTCCAGTTGCCGTTATTGCACATGTGCTCAATTCTGTACCATGAGCTATAGATGAACACATGAGAGCTCTTGCCTTTCAGAGCTTCTTGCTCCCTCATGAGGACATTACATTTGTACTCACTGAATTCTCGGCTTGGACTTATGTGGTGCTGTTTCATGAATTCTCTCCAGGAAACATCATTTCTGTGTACAAGCAGCCTGCACAGGATGCAAAGCAGGGTCAAGAGAGTGCCCCAGATCTTTAAAGAGGACGCCATCTCAGTCACCAGGGCCACCTGCATGTCCACAGGGAAGAGAAAGAAATGCATTACTCAGATACTGCCCAGAGAGCTGAGCTCCACCATAAAATTTCTTTCCCTTACCATGTAGGCACTTGGGCACAAGTTTACTATTAATATTTGGTTCTCATATTAGAAGATGATAACTCTGATTAGATAATAAAGTTTCTAAAGAACTAAAAATATGCTTCAGCCTGAGTGAGTAAAACACAAAATTGGAAGAAATAAATGAAGTTTATTTTGAGAATTCCAAACATCTCCTGTCTTCCCTCTCTTCTAACCATCCTGCGGAGCCAATCACCCTTTATCTAGCTCCTTTTTGCTAAATCAACTCTCAGGAAATCATGTGTCCAAAAGAGAATGGTGTTTAAAGCTTTATGTCTGAGAGATGAAAAGGGTCGTCACCTTTTAAGATAATATAAAAGATGAGTAACTACTTTGGAGGTATTTCCTAGGCAGGAAGGCATTTATTCCTTGAAATTGCAGCCCAGGCTGCAATTACACTGATCTGCAGAATGATGCTTCTCCAACCTTGATTTCCTTACAGCACTTCCCCAAAGCCTGAGTGAAACATATCATCACTACTAACTACCTACAGCCCTTCTCAGGGGCCATTTCTCTAATTATTATCACAAATAATCCTGAATTGTCAGAGCTGCTTGTTGAGAATGCCATCATAAAGGATCCCCAGTTTTGAAATACTTATCTAATCAATCAAGTACCAAAACTAAAACTGTCCTCACAGGGACTATTCTCATCACAGCATAGGGTAGACAGTTGTTTGAAAAAGTTTCCCCTTCAAACCAGCCCTCTGTCCTCACTTACTATGAGGAGTATAACTAGCCCTACTGACCCTCTAACCTGATTCACAACTCTGAGCATCAGTGCCCTCAAACAGGCCTAGTAATAGCTCCCTCGCAGACCCGTGAGAGTCTAATGAGATACATGCACGTGAGAGCACTTCTAAGGATATCAAATGCCTACACCAGACACAGAACAAAGGGTAGGTACTTTCTCATTTATGGAACCCTGGCCTGGTCATAAAGGACTAACCAGGTTGAGAAGGCCAGGATTCAAGCTGCTTTAATATGCTTGGGAAGACTGGGGGTAAAGGGAGGGAGAGGCAAGGAAAAAGGCTGTATCAGTGGGATTAATTAATTTTCCATTCTTTACATCTAAAAGTTCAATTGACCTCCTGCTAGTGTTCCTGGGCCTTTCTCCCAAGCATCCTCAGCATGAACCCTTCTTACCCTATTCAATTCAGCATTTGGGTCTCTGGTTGTTAGGGGGAATCAGCAGGTGGATCTGAAAAGCAGAGTCTGCGTCCTCTTGGTTTCCTGAGAGCCCAGAAGTCTGCTGCAGTGGAGAAAGGAATCGCAGTGGGAGGTGCAGTGCTCTGGCTGATTGGTAGTGGAGGGGGTAGTGGGGAACAAACAGCCTTATTATATGAACCTGTTCCCATATCTTCTCATCTAGAACACTTGAATTCACTGAGACAGTAGCCACGGGCAAGAGTTACGAACATCAAAGACTGACTCTGGGCATAAAAAAACTGCAAGACCCTAGAGTGAGGTGACCCCAGAAAGGGATTATCTGAAGCTAAACTCATTTTCTGAAAAACTTCTGGGGAAGTCCCTGGATGGCTAGGCTATGTTCTATAGGAACTTCAGTGAGGAAAACCACCTATAAAGTTGTGAACTATGGACCTTCATTGAGAAGCGAAAGAGTATCTAGTGAAACCCGGCAGCCAGGTAGGCATTACTGATTAGGTAACTGGTACCTGAAGTTTCTTTAGGCAGTTATTAACTATAACCTTCAGCTATTTGCTTAAACTATACTGAGTACTCTTAAAATGTCACGTAGCCTAACTATAGTTTCCACAGTGTTCCTATAGAAAACACTTCACTCTGACGTACGGAAGATATTAGCTAAATTGTTATCGGGAATTCAAGACTCAGTTCCAAACTCCGCCCAAACTGGTTGAGACCACTGACCCTTCAACTGAATTTGTAAGAGTGTCTGATGGGTGACTTTTGACTTCACAGCTGAAATTTCCACCACAAGCTTCATTCTGATGCCCCCCAAATTGGCACATGTAACTGATACTGGTTCAGTAACACTAGTCAAAGGTGCAATTTATGGATAAAGTAAGATACTCTAATGTGTTTTCTATCAATACCTGCAATGGCTGCTCCTTGCAAAGCCACCTTGCTTGAGTTTCTCACTGGGCCACCTCGTTATTAGAATGTCAGGATATTCCGATTATATCTAGAATTTATCTTCAAATCCCAGCTCATGTCAAGCAATCCTTGAATAATGGAGAATCCTGTGCTGTTAGACTGGATGAGGTGTTGTCTCAGAGAATATTCTGTACATCCTTTCACTCACTCGTTCTTTGGGTGGCAGGTGAGAGCAAAAAGGGAAGAATTCTGGGCATCTGGATTTGAATGACTTGAGAGGTGGTTCTGAGGAATAATAAGCTGGCTATCACTTGCCTGTACAGCCAGAGCTCTAACAAGTTTGCATCATCTACTGAAGACTTGAATTCAAGTAGTGACTCAATGAATTTAGAGAGAAGTGGGAGGAAGAAGCCACCTGAGCCAATGTGTGAAGAAGAAAGGGATCTATAGTTTTTCAAGGCATCATATTTTATGGTATATTATAGGAGAGCAATGAGTGATTTTGAGAATTTTAGGAAGCAATGCATGTGAAAGTAATTTTAAACAATAAAGTGTTATGCTGGTATCTATTGTTGAAAATATTACTATAGGGCTGTTTCTCCCTCGGCCATTTCCAATGTCAACTAGTTAATCCAGTGTTTCTCAAATAAGTAATATTCCATTTTCAGTGTGGAAAAAAATTTATTGTGGACCCTTAACAAACAGAACCCTACTATGAGCTAAGCTAAAAGTCCTAAGACCTTTTGGATATTTGCCAATTAAGAAGCAGCCCAAATTAAATTGTGGGGAATGGTATCCTCTTATATCTGCAGAAATTAGCAACTACCAAAGCAACCCAGGAAGGTAAGTTAACCATTATTTAGAGGAACTGCTTAGTGGGTCTACTTCCTACTTCCTAGAGCTCTTTCTACCAGCTCCTGCAACAAAAGCGTCTTGGGTAGTGACTTCTGATTTGAGTTCTTAAAGAGATATTACCCTTTAAATATAAATTTTATATTGCTTGTTAATCATAATCTTTTTTAAAGTTTCTTTGATTTTAACTCTTTTCCATTAATTCCTTGATATTTTGTTTTGTTAGCCACTATTCAATTCTTAAATTTTTTTTCAGATAATTGTTTCTCAAAATCATAATAGTGACTTAGGTTTCCTCATGCAGATGATGACCATGTTTCAGGGTATCTTAACCTGTGATCCATGGGCTTCTAAGAGCTCCATCAATGGAATTTATAGGGTCCATGAACTGATGTGGTGAAAAAATTACATCTTTATTTTCACTAACCCACAACTGAAATTAAGCAATTCCTTCACTTATAAATGTAGAAAAAATAGAAATCAAGCATATTTTATATCAGTTTATATTCATTGCAAATATCTCAAAATATTTACTATTTTACATTGATCACAATTTCAAAATTATAGTAATAATTAAACCCAAATTCAGATCTTATTCTTTATGCATTAATAAACACAGATATTACTATATCACAAACTTTAAATGTTTGAAACTTGATTTCCTTTGTAATCCAAAGTATCTTATTTTGTGCATTTCATAATATTTTTCTGAGAACAATTATTATTTTTCTTGTAGGAACCAAAGCACTTGGCCTTCTGAAGATTCACTGAAAATCTGACATGAAGCATAGTGATTAATAGGAGCAAAGGCATACACAATTTTTTTTAACATACATACACAGGATCCTTCAGAATGAAGACCCAACGTCCTAATGAAGTACAGAAGCTTATATACCATCTTGAGGTTACAGAAAAAATATGGGCTCGGAGCATGGCCAAAGCCAGATTATGGTGGTAAATCAGGTTTTAGTGGCAAGACAGGTTATGGGAGGGATATAAGAGGAAGCTTGGCTAACAAATGTGGTCTTGTTATATAGATAAAACCTTACAGATAGCAGCCCCCAGAGAGGATAGATGGTGAATGTTTCTTTCAGGCCTTTAAAAGTATAAGACTCACAGTTAATCTTTCCTAGATCTGGACAAAGGAAAGCCTGGCTCTGTGTGTGTGTGTGTGTGTGTGTGTGTGCGTGTGTATAATCTCCAGCCATTGTACCCTAGCTTGCTTTCCTATAATTGCTTACTACTCAGGAATCACATAGCTGATGGTTATAATGATTCTTAGTTTTCTTCATTGTTCCCACAGATAACATCACCCTTGTGAAACCTAAGGCTGGTCTTTGAGATATCTTCCAGATCCTGTATTCCAGTGGAATGGCTGACTCACCCAGACCAGTGGCCCATACCAAGGAACTTACTCAACTGGTCTTGAGACCCTCTACCTGGGAACTGATTCAGTGCAAGAAGATGATTTGTGCTTCCCAACCCTGAGTTCATCCCCAGCCAATCAGCAGACATAATTCCCTAGCCCTTTGCCCACCAAACTATCTTTAAAAACCCTGGCCTGAAAATATTTGGGGAGATGGAGTTGAGAAATTTCTCCCATCTCCTCACCTGGCACCCTGTGATATTATACATTTTATCTGCTGTAACCCCTGGTGTCTCAGTGCATTGGTTTCTTCTTGAGCAGCAGGCAGTGAACTTGATTAGGTTGTAACAGGTGCATGACACACAAAAAATTCTTTTTTCTTTTTAACTTTTTCTTACCAAAAATATATTTTCATATGTATAACTTTCTTCATACCTCTCTTACTTACTTGTTCCTTTTATCTTGCTTTATTTTCTTTCTAATCCATATTTTAAAGTAACCTTTAATTAACTACTGAATTAGACAAAATTATTTTTTTCTTAGTAAGAACACATTGCTATGCTTTTTTAAAAAAAAAATCA